TTGACTGTTTTGCTGTAAAAGTAGTTCGATGTTGAACTATATATATATACATAACCCAGTAGTACTACTATGAATTTATCGCTTCTCATACATGTAACTATAACATATGAGCTAATAGTGCATAGCTAGAACATTAATTTGTATATATTTATGTTTTTCAGTTGAGGTTTATTTTTAATTTCATATATACATAGCAACATTCTCTATAAACCCTTATTAATAAAAAAAACACTATAGACATTATTACACTGTACAGACAGATATGTGAACGAGTAGTAGTTATACTACAATAGTTGACGTCACAAATATACACAAATAAATGTACAAACAAACTACACATTCATCAAATATATATATATATATATATATATATATATATATATATATATATATATATCTGTACACAGAAAGCATCAAAACAGAATTACTAATTTTGTTGTACATGCATAGTTTACGCTATTTGCAATATTACTGTTTACATTTATGAACAATGTAAAAACTAATGATTGATGAGATTGAGCATCAAAAGAAGGAATATATCGAATGTAAATTTATTCATTTAGTTTCTATTGTTTCCGTTTACGTCTGAACTACACTAACAATAATGATAATAATAATGATATTAACAACAACGGGAGTGATAAAGAAGTGAACAACGATAAGCTAAAGAGAAAGGAGCTAAAAGAATAAAAAACAAAAAAAACAATGTAAGTTTACAAAATAAAACACAAACAAACGCATACATTAACATAGCTTATTCGTACTTGTTCTTCAAGAAAAATGGATACAAGTTGAATGTAATTTTCGTTCCTGTTTTCACTTTACCCCAATGATTTACTTAGTTAAGGCTGAAAATCTCTGTATACACGTATATATGGTGCCTACACTTGACAATATGAAATAAGTTACATTACAAAGAATACATTTAGGTGAAAACTATGTGCTTTAAATTTTTGCTCATAGAAATGAAAAGATAGTTGATGTTATCAGTGAAGTGTAAAGACTACAACAACAGGAAATGACGATAAAGTTGACGATATTATTAACTACTTACATTTATGATCCCTTGTCAATTTAAACATTTAACTATTTCCGTTTACTCATATCCTCTTTGACTATCATTATATCACTTAGGGAAAGAAAGACTCTAAATAGTGCAATCATCAAACATCTCCTTGATACAGGATATCAGGTCAATACCTTGCAATCATTCAAGGTGATTTGTAAGCAGCCAAACTCCAGTCTTCTGAAGTTTGCTGAAGCCGTTGCTATCAGACGCCAAAAACCTGATTTATGTGTTCGAAAGTAGATGGTTATTAATCTTTCCTAGCCTTGGTGACTAATATTCCTCCGCTGTATCTTAATATGATATTTGTTCTTTTTCTTTAAACTCTTTCTCGCATTTATCACATCATTGAGTTTTATTGCAACTATTTTACAAATTAATAGTCTTATTTTATCAACTGAACTCTACTCATTTTATTTCTATCAATATTTACTCATTATATAATCACTTGTTTCTGGCCCTTTGAATTGTTGTCACAATCAGTGTTGTAGAATGTTCTTTTACATAGGGTATATATTTACAATATTCAGTCTATTAAATTTTTTCCACACCCTTGCTATACTATACTAATATGTTTTCAATATAACTTCCAATCAAACTCTTTCATGTGAGTAAATTAAACCCATTATGTAATTGTTGTGTTTAAGTATCACAGGTTGTAAGCAGCTGACGAGAACCAACGCAATAAAAATAAATTCATGCTATTCTATCAGAATGTTTGTTCTTGCTCTTTTCAAAATGATAAAGGGAACTATGTGTATGATATTAATTATTTTTTTTTGGAGTAATTACTAGCACTTCCGTCATTCTCTTCATCACAATTAGCATGTTTGTTGTACTCGGTTACGTCACGACCGCTCTCTCTCTCTCCCGTTCAATTATTTCAACTGTAAATTGAATTTGTATGAATATGGAAAGTATTTGTAATCCTTTTGTTGCTAGTGTACTGAGGGATTTTAATCTATACTATGCATAAAATTACATTTGTAATAGGTTTTATTTATTTGTACAAGTCATTAAGTATGCAAAAAATTAAAGCACACGAACGACAATAAATTCATTTTGTCCTCCAATTTATTGAATTTCTTGACTCAGAAACTGCCCTGATTGATTTCGTGCTTTGCATATATCCATATACATATTACTGTATATTAGAATAAGGGCTAATGAAGATGAAATTGAAATTGATTTTGTTCATTTAGGTGTGTTGTACAGACAGTAGAATTTCATATTATTATTCTAGATAGATAGATTTTCCTTTTTACTTATCAGTTATCATTCAGAAAACAATGTCCGATTACATTAAAAAATATATTAGACAATATTGTTTTGAAAAAAAGAGAATTTTACACTTCATGACTATTAAACTAGACATTAATTTTTTGAAGCCTTTAAATGCATACGTTTTACCATTAGAATTAACAGTTTTAGGACCTGAAATATTCGATTTACATTGAAACAATCAACGTTGTAACTGTAAAATTATCTGAGGAGAGTATACAGAATTGTTTAAATCATTAACAAGAGTGTTATAAAATGAAGTGGATTATAGTGTGCTAGACACGATCGAGTTGGTTCATGAATACAATGAGATATCCCATTTGACTCTCTCAATAAAATGTTTTATGACTTCCGTAATTAATATAGGTTATTTGAAGGGTATTTTTCATTGAGTGGAGCACAATTTACTCAATCTTTAGGAGCTTTAATTGTGAAGATATACTATTTACACAAGCTCGACCTCAGTGGTTAGAACCTTAACACTGAATAGTGTAGTGCTAAGTGATAAGTATTTTCTAAAACTATTGACAGATTTTTTTCTATGAAAATGGAAACTTTACGAAATGATAGACTTATCATTGTAGTTTCAAATATTCAATATATTAGTAATTTAAAATGTTTGGAATCATATGGTAGTGAAGATAAACTATGACTAACCAACTAAATAAAATATAACAAATTCAATTACAATGTTGGTGGTCAAATTGACTTGAAGGAGTGTGGAAATTTTCTTGAACAATGAAATGTATACAGTTTAATGTTTGGATTTTCACATATACTGCATGAAGCTCAAGAAAAAATTTGACGTAACTGCTCAAAATAAATTACATAAGGTCTAAAAAATTGATGGAATTGATTAATTAAATCTGAGTAATTTGTAATAAACTTTTTTGATCCGAATTAAGAGCACAGTTATTTGATCCCTGCGTAGTGATCAATGTCACGTATATCCAGTTCTTAAATGCTGATTAAATTCCCTTGATCGAATTGGAGTGTGACTGCTAGTCTAAATAACTCGACGTTTTATGGACTAATGTTGAGGTATTATATGGTAAGACTATTAGAAAAATATGAGACTAATCGCTACTCATCTACTAATTAATTATAAATAACTCAGTACATTCACGACCCTGCAACCGAGGGATCGAAACCGGGACCTTCACCCTCGTATGAGGATGCTAAACCTCGAAACAACTGAGCTGAGATCCAAAGGTATATAAGTTTATTTCTAATCAATCTGAGACATTATGTGATCATATTCGATTATCTTTGGAGGATGCCTTCCTCCCACTCACCACAGTTGAACTCTAATGGTCACGACTTCTCGTCAGAACTCCGATTATGTGATTATTTTACAAAACATAAAATTCAACTTGACAGTAAATTTGTTCAAATGAGATTTCTTTGCTAAAATTTATGTTTTTAACCTTATAATCTGAGCTATAAATGATTTGTTACCTGAAGTTCCATTTGTACTAGAATTATTATGACTGTATAATGCTAAAATTTGAGAAATAAATTATATCCACTTATTATCAAAAGTACAATTAAAATCACTTCAAATATTTCATCATTTTGTTGATGATTGTGTTATTTTCACAGATTGAAATCATGAGTCAGTTGAAGCTAGACCACCATTGAAAACCTGGAAGCACTGGACGGCCGTTTCGTCCTAGTATGGGACTCCTCAGCAGTGCGCATCCACGATCCCGCACCACCCGGGGCTCGAACCCAGGACCTACTGGCTTCGCGCGCGAGCACTTAACCATTAGACCACTGAGCCGGCATCCAACGGTGTTAATGTCTAACTTCAACCAATCCACGAAGTTGCGCTACCGTACACCATTGTCTTCAGTGAGTTCCTATCTCACAACAGACCTGGTTGAACTGACTCATGAGTTCAATCTGTGAAAATTTCTAAAAAAAAATCTCCACAAACCCCTTCTGATTGTGTTATTTTAATGAAAATATTAAAATCGGGATATCTAAGTTATTAGCGTGTAACGACTAAAGTATTTTAAACACAGTTTAATGTGAGTATCAGAATTCACTTATTTTTGTTTTTACAATTAAAGTGTGACAGACACTTTTTTTTTTTCGGAATCATTTCGGCCTCATAAAAATTACCAAACAAAGATTGTTTTTTTTTATGACGATAAAGTAAATAAAAATAAAAAAACGTTTTTTTTTGTATTTTTTATCTGTATATTTTTAAAACGTTCTCTTGTTTCATATGATATTGTTATGTTTTAACCATGTGAAAAATAACCCAATGATAAATGATACACGTGGCCATATAACTTTATAAGTACAGACAGGTATATTTTTATATTAAAAGGGGTGAATACATATTGGCTCATACAGTTTTCACATAGTTATGTCGTATAAATATATGTCTATCCTACTATTGTTAAGTGTAATATATTAACTTATCAAATGGATATTTATTTACTTTTCCAAATACACATGATTCAAAGTCAATTCAATTGATAAAACAAAAAGAACTCAACTAATCATCGTTTAATTTACCTAATTTCATTTGATTTTTGGATGTTTAATAAATTTAATTTTTAAAGAAAAAGAGAATATACTACTTATTTACAAATTTTAAAATTTTAAATGGCACCTTTACTAATAACAAATAATGTTTTAGTATCAGATACAACAACAATAAGACCATCTGAACTACATATTAAAAACTCGAAAGAATATGATAAATTCGATGAAAATGAAATGAAAGATGAGATTGAAATGAAAGATTTAAATTGGCAAAATTTATTACCAAAATCATCATCTGATCAATTAGAGAATAGAACTTATCCAATGCAAATACAAACAGCATTTCGTATTGATGGTAAGTATGTTGTTGTCTTTTCTTCTCGTAAAAAACAACTAGATAAGAATTTTATGAGGTGGTGGAGAAGATTTGTAGTTTAGGTGAAAATTTGTTCTCTAAGCTGGATGGTTTTGTTGTGGAGCTTTCATTGTTCTTTTGAAAAACATAATCGAAATAAACTATAGGTAGAATTTTGTGCTGGGGATGTTATTCAGAAGAACAATGAAAACTCCATGATCAAACCATCTAGCTCAGTGGAAAAAATGCCATTTAAGAATTATATGCTTTACTTCTTTCTTTCTATATGGATATTTTGACGATTGTTTAAGTGATATGTACTGATAATATTTGAAATTCTGTCGAAGATCAAGCAGTGCTGGTTGCGCATGTTGATCCATCCGTAGTATATGCCCATGACTCTAAACAGCATCAAAACTCAGAATTTTTATGTCTAATGATAAATGTGACAGTATCCGACCAGCGAATTAGAATCCAGTGATTAACTTTACCTATAATAAAACATTATCTATCAGTATAATTAACAAACTGGTCCCAAAGCTTTGACTTAGATATTCTTGATATCGGAAAATAATTGCTTCATTTTATACAATTTTCAATGATTCTTCGAAACAACCTCAGCCTATGATGAAAACCACTTTAAAAATGATAGTTATTATGACAAAATTATCAGTCGATTGTTGACAGTAAATTTTTTTACTATTAGAGAAATTCCCTTAAATTGCTTAAATATATGGGATATTTGACTGGAATTTGTTAGCCTCGAATAATATCCATTAAATTGGTCTGGTAATGAAATCTCGTTATACATATCAGGATAAATGAATTTCTCCTGAAATTACTATCATAAAATTTTGAGATCAGAACTTTAAAGAATGTTGAAAGATATTATTACCAATAATATTACTAATAGTAATCGTAATAACGAATGCCAACATTTATGTAAAATGAGTTCGTCAGAAACATGTATAAAATATAATCAAAGTTACACTCGAGTAAAATATATGGGTGGTAGAATAAATGAAAAAGATTAAGATAATTCATGTCCCAAGGTCAGTATAGATCACATATGTAACAATACTAAGTCAAAGATATATCATCATGATCTGTTAAATGATTATCAAATGTTCGTTCAGCGCTTCGTTTCCAACCCATTCAAACAAATACTTGTTAGTTGTCACTAAGATGAATATGCATGTTGGTCATTAAATACTTACAATTTTTGGTACTTCAGATCCTAACTGCATTTCGCTGATATATATGAACAAGTATTGAACTGCAGTTCAACAATTCTAAAATATGATTTTGAGATACATCAGTATAGATTCACCATACCCTATGACTATACAGAATACTTCATCCACTAATGTTTAACTCACAAGAAAATAATGGTATTTTTTTACTGCTAGATAGGAATAAGAGATCAACAAATCAGAGCCTTGATTTAAGATAGTATACTTAAGAAGCTAAACAACTTTCAAAGTATCCACATTTAGAAATATGTTCACTCAGAATACAGTATAAATGAGTGTTTATTTATTTTTTACACAACCTATATTTTGTATAGATTAAGCAATGTGAAATTAACGCCTACATCTCTTTATTAAAAATAAATAAATAACCTTAATAATTAATGAAGCTACAAGACAACATTTTTTTTTGTTTCCGCTAAATTGTTTACATCATGAATCAGCACAAAAATTAAAAGTTACATTATAAGATCAATTAGTATTTAAACAAAACAACAACTTGACAGCTATTTAACATGAAAGCTAAGTAAATTACTTGAATAATCAATATATCACATTAACTGTATTGATTTATTGAAATTATAGATTGAAATCAGTGTACAAAAGCTATTTCTGTTTTCATACTGATAAGTTAATTTTTCAGGCAAAAAACAAACAAACAAACAAACAATCAATATACCGACAAATTACTGTGCCAACAAAAAAAAACACAACAAAGCAACAAAACCTAGAATTAATGTTGAACCGATGTCACACTATATGAAATGGAATTTTTTACTTAAATATATACACTTTTTGTCAAGTTAGTTTTACATAATTTTTTTTTAACTAAAAAGGAGTATTACTTGGAAAGAGATATGTATAGTAGAATGATGATACGTTTTAATTTAGAACTCTTCAATAGAGCCGACAGTATGAAATAGAATATATAAATTTATAGAGAAATAGGCAAAGAACAGTAACACATTGACAACAATTTCGATGTTGAAAATGACAAATGATTCTATCACACAACTATATAATTGTAATCATATAAAATGGAAAATAACAATGTATGTGACTGAATTTTTTAAAAAAAAGAAACGAAGATCTTTATCGCTTGAGTATATTTTCTAAACTGTTACTTGATAATGAAAAAATTAAAACTTCTATATTCTGTTCATGAAATCGATTGCCTGTTTTTTTGGTACTTTTTTAAAAAAATTAACAGTCAACAACATACGTGTATGTTTTGTTTGTGAAAGCGGTTGATGCAATTATAAATATTATTGTTAGATATTGAACAATTTCATTTAATGAGGACAGATATGAGAGAATTCATATGACTACTAAACAGTATTTAATGTAGGAATACTATTTGTAATTAATTATTTTACAAGTTAAATTGATATTGTAATCTATGCAAACAATTATGAAGATGATATTAATTTATGGGTGTAAAACATGAACTTTGATAATAGAGGATATTCACAGATTACTCGCATTCGGTCATAGGTGGCCTCAATCCATTGATCGTGTATTTGGGGATCATCAGGTTAATCATTCTGGAATTAGACACAGAATTCTAGGGAAGGATGGAAAACCGACTGATGAGGTAGTGAATCTCTATCGATTGAGATGCTTAGAACATGTTTAACAGATTCCCATCTACCGACAACGTGGACACGTGATGATGGGCGTTGTAGGAGTAGGTTGGTTGGAAGTGAACCAGGGTAAACAGATCAACTCACGACATCAGTCTGTAAGCATACTGACTATTGTAGTGAGCTGTGTGTGTGTTTGTGCAAATGGACTACATGATTGTGGTCGATGTGACCATCATAACTAGTGATTAGAGACTCTGAGTGAAATGGCTCAAAATCGTTTGGAGTGGTTCAGGTTCATCCACTCAATTTATTCTCTTAGATCTGAAGTGTACAAATGTTTTTATTATACTAATTTGTATTTTTGTTGTTGAATGTTATCTCGTATGTCGAATCTTTTGTACTACCATTAATTCACTTACTACTGTGTGATTTGCACTGACAATTTGATCTCATCGTGCTAATGGGTTGTGTGATCTTGGACCGATGTACTAACCATAGGGGAACAAGACAAAATATTCACATAACAGGTATACATGTCTTGGAATCTAAACTATATTCTCATTTGATCTTCATATGTATTTCCTAAGCCGTGCTTTTGATGTACTGCAACAGTTCTCTCCGTCAGACTACTAGGACAGCTTCAAAATCACGTTCCACCATATACTACTTACTAGCTATCTTGTGAGTATCGTACACCACACTATGTTCTACGTTTCATACAACTATTCATACTATTTTTCTTTCAGCAAGTAGATCGATAGTTCCAACCCCGTTCAGTTTATTTTACTTTATTCAACTAAATATTGTTATTACTATCCTTTATAAGTAACCTTCAAGTATTTGCTTCGAATTATAACCACAATTCATAAAGAAAATATTCTTATAATATATAATGATTATAATATGCTTATATTTCAACTCATTCACTAATTACATGTTTATACACTGGTTTTTTACACGAGTACATTGTGAAGACTAGTAACATCACCTACTTGGGCGAACTGATCAATGTCATGAATGATAAGAATCTCCGACTTATTAATTAAAAATTGAATTGACACTTAAATTATTTACTAACCCAGTATTTTATTTTAAATGACATTTACCTATATGTGAATGTTTATGTTGACAGGTTTCCTCAAATTGTATTTGAAGAGACAAATGTTCTACGTAAATTTAGGTAGTATCTTAAATTAAAAATGCAACTAAGCATATTAAAATATTCTGAAAAAAATTTTCTGACAGTTTTTTTCCTCTTATGTTGTCTAATAAATATAAAGGTATCTTACTTAGTAGAAAAAGTAGTATTTATAAATATGGAAAGTACTAGATAATGACAATCAGTGACCCTTAGAATAATCATTAATGAAAATATTTTATCAATGAAGCATCTCCATCTCACAAGATTAGGTAGCAATTTCTACTGGACTAGTTCAAATTGATTAACTTAACAATAGGAAAAGTTAGAAGTTCTAATATTCACTATCAGATAGTTATACCAAGAAAAAACTCAACTTATATAAACGCATATACTAACTAACAATTCTTTTTTTAAATATAGATATCAGTGATCTCTATATAATTAAATGTTGACCTGTTAGCTACAACTTATTTGTATTTACAATTATTAGACTTGATAAAAATAAAGAAAAGATTCAGATGAATGAACCATCTTATGCTCCAATAGAGTAGTCTGTTCAAGTAATAATTCACATTTCTTAATATTTCAATGCTGAACTTCAAAATAATCTGTACACCAGTATTTAAATGATACCTAAAAATGAAACTACTCGTAAGTAGTATACATTTGTGTTAAACAATGTTTTAACCACGATTACATGATTTAGAAATAAAACAAAAATCACAAGTGATATTCAGAAATTCGCATATCCAATCGTTTGTTTGATTTGAATTCTGGTAAGTACTCTTGTTTTCACTGTAATTAATAATTCAACTAAAAACTATTCAATACTACAATGGAGTTTCTAACTGTAAAGAGAGATATTTTAGTATTAACTGACTTCTGTCCACAAACATAAATAATTGTGAATGCACCATATAATCATGTATCAAGTAACATTATAAAGTGTAAAATAGTACAACATAAAACGTTGTCGAATGAGAACTCTTCATTTATGGTGTTGTTTATCTTGTTTTCACGGTT